GGGCACAGGTTAGCCAAAACCAGTCAAACAAATGCTGTAATTTACTCGATAGAATTTAAATCGAACAAGGTTGCAGTGCAACACATCGATCACAACAATACCTTTATGCCTCGTTCTCTATTGCTTCTGTACGTGCCAAAGCCAAGTTCAGATATTTGGAAAATAAAAGATATCTATTGTCTTACCTCGCATAGTTGCGTCGGAAGAGCGGGTGGTCATCCTCACTGCAGCTTAGACGCAAAAAGCGGCACGATACAACACAAACCATTCTTAAGAAATGCAAGGGGGTGGGTAAAAGTATTACAACATCGGCACCTCAGCTCCTCACATTACCGGATTTTTACAGCATCGTTTTGTATATTTCAAGGATTAAGCTTAACAATAGCTCAAGAATTATCCAATTTTTCTCATATGTTAAATTAAAAAGTCAAGTGGTAATAAAAAGCGGCCAAAACCATGACCTTTATAGATAATGCTGCGGTTGGCTTTCAAAGATTGCAATACAAAAAATCGCGTTACCGATTATAAAGCTTTCTTTCGCTGGCTTTCACCAAACCGATTACTTATCAAAAGCGTAGAAATCTCCTAAGCATACACTCCTCTTTTCAATAGTATATGGTCTGCGGAGACCTAATGTGATTTGCTTTACAGAATTGATGACAAAAAAAATCTGTTGAAACAAATTACATGTCGCGTCGTGCCGATTTTGACGTCTCTCGTTCTAACGATTCACCGATGCACAAATTTTGAAGCGCAGACCTTTGTGGCATTTTGCGGGTTCGAACAGAATCGAATGCATTTTGGTTTGCTTCTTTCGCAAAATTTGTGGATGATGAGGTCCAGTGTTCGTTGTAATAATTGCTCCTCTTATTTCACTTTTATGTTAATACGAGTTAATATGACCGTAGATTCATCGACTATTAGGTTTGTAAAAAGACAAGTAGCGGTCAGAGGTGACGTCCGGTAGTAAGAAAAAGAAGATCTAATAAGGCGCATTTGATCTTCTCAGTATCAGACTAGCATTTCAGCGAATCAAGATACCTAAACAATTAGATGATACTGTGGTTTTGTAACGCTACTATCGAAACTGTCTTTAAGCACGCACGTACCGTATAGTTCGATATAATGAATATTAAAGTAGCTACATTCTGCTAATGATACAACAAGAATAAATTTTTACAGAAAAAAATTCATTTGTCCATCAGCTCAAAATTTTACCATCCGAGCCGACTTACGCTTTACTGCACTGAAGAAAATCTTACGATCTTGCCTGGCTGTACTCGCGGCCTTTAAGGTTATTATGGGAAGCATCTGAGGCCATCATGGATCAGCATCATATGACTTAAAATGATTTCGACACGTAAGTAAGAGCGACGCTGTCGTCATACCTTGCACAGCAACATTGAAAAAGCGGGCGGTCATCGGCATTTACAGCTGAGACGTCAGAATCGGCACGACGTGATATGTCATTTGTTTTGCAATTATAGACTTTTTAACCTTCGTGATCACTACTTATTCATTTTAAAGCAAATGTATAAGCTAACGAAGTTGTTGATATCCAATCAGCTTTCAGTTTGTTAGTAGCTTAATGTGTGATGCTGCATTTGAGTTTGTCATCTTGAAAGCATACAAATCCTCTCTTACAAGAGAACACGCTACTTTGCGTGGCTCGCAGACTGACTATTTCATACGAAGCCAAATATCCCAAGCTTGTCTTCCTCAAGTGTTTTGCTTTGGCAATTGATTGCTACGGTCGTGTACAAAGCCCCATAGGCGACAAATACTTTTCGACTGTCAACATTATTTTTGTGAGAAGTCACGCCAAATTTACGTCATGCGACATCCTGCAGTAATCACGCCAAATACTCACAAGTAAAATGGATATGCGTGCACATATTGATGGTCAAGACCGTGCTCATAACATCAATTGTTATGACTGCTACTCCATTACTTCCACAACGCTACGAAGCAACATGTTTAAGCATAAGAGAATAACATAAGAGATTACTCGCATGCCTATTGTGCAGTTGTCACTACAATCTATCGCACGTACTTTGTACGATAAGTATTTCACTTTGTGGTATTAGACGCACATGGTTCCAATATATCATGTTTCTATTCTCTAAATCAAGACATATACACCTCACATTCGAATGTACAAAGTACACCTAAGTCTTCACGTGATTTCCACACTAACGTGAAATATTTTTAAGGAAGACTTTGTACGTACTATGTAATCTGTGTCGAAGTTCTCA